GCCCCAATGTTACAAAGAAACTTAGGATGACTGTCCAGACATTCAGATGTCTGTCATTTCTAGAGTTTTTAAAAGTTGGTTACAATGCATTTTTTTGTTTATTTAAAAATAGTATATCCTTCTGGTGCCTTTGATAAAGACTAGATAGTTACAGTTTTCTTGGGATATGATAAAAAGTAAGTTAGGTATAAAACTTTAGAGTCACTAAAATATAATAGATAACACATTATTTTCTCTAAACATGCTAACTACCAGTGGATAAAATATTGTAAATTAATTCTTACTTGGCAACTATTTATGTTGTATATAGTTTTACTATGTTAAAGTTAAAATCTTTTCTTTTTCTTTAGATGGAAAAAAGGGAAAATGTGGTAGAATATTATTTTCATCTGTGTGATCTTTGTTTATGCTTCATTTGTTTAACTCTGTGAAGCTGTGTTGCTTGTGCCTGATGATTTAATTAAGAGCTAAATGGCCAATAGCAAGGCAGGGGCAAGGATAGGCAGGGCTGGCAGGCAGCATGTAGAAATAGAAGGAAAAGCAAAAAAAAGAGAAACAAAAATAAACAAACAAATAGATAAATAAATGAGAGGAGGAAGTCAGAGGCCAGCCCCCAGCCACCCAGCAAACTATGAAGTAAGAGTAAGATTTACAGAAGAGAACAGGAAAAGCCCAGAGTTCACTTAAGATAAGAATAATACTGGCTAGCAACAAGCCAAGCTAAAGCTGGGGTGGTGGGCTCCTTAGAACCAAACACTAAAACACCAAAAGAGTAAAAACAAAAACATCATCCAGTAGACAATGAACACCTGACCATGTCCCCATGAAAGAGCTCCTAGCTCAAGGGACTCGTGTGTGTGTTCTCATTGTTGCCAAACTCATCTAGCTCTGACTATCCGTCCCCTCCCTTCCGCTTTCCTCCCCTCCTCTCTCCTTCCCCTCCCTTTCCTTTCTTTCCCTCCTCTCCCCTCCCTCTCTTCCCCTCCCCTTCCCTTCCTTCCTTTCTTTTTCTTCCACCCCCTCCCTCCCTCTCCCCCCTTTCCTCATTTCATTCCTTTCTGTGTGTGGAGATCAGAGAGTAACTTGTGGGAGTCTGTTTTCTCCATATGTTATATAGGTCTCAAGGATCAAACTCAGGCCATCAGGTTTAAGAGGAAGTGTCTTTACCTGCCAAGGCATCTCACCTGGCCCTGGTTGTGCCTCTTGTCACACAGAAGTGATGGGTATGTCTGTTCTCAGGGCATCCTTGCACTGAGTGTACTGGCTCCTGCTTTAAATGTCATTAGCAGTCTGGGAAAGCCCGAGTGAATTCTTCTTTTAGATCCGCCAGTTCCAGCAGTGCTCACCTTTTGCATGGTTTGACCATTGCTGGCTGGTGCGTTTGGCCTGCCCGAGTGCCCTTTTCTGTTGCCTTGTGAGCGCTCTTTACATACATCCTCTCATGTGCTTCTTGATAAGCTAATTTTCCTCTATATAACATATCCTGGGCATATGCCATCCTGTGGATTTGCTGTATGTATGTAGCCAATACTCTGTGCCTCAGTTTCCTTACCTATAAACAAGACAGTGATTTTGCTTAGAATAAATAAATAAGGAAGTGGTTTGGTGTGAAAATTTGTGTTGTGCCTGTCTGTTTTCAGCTTCTGTAACAGAACACCACAGACTGGATGTGTATTTGGCTCTGGGTTCTTGAGTCTGGGAAGCCCAGGAGGGCCATGCCCCATGAAGGCTTCCTGGCAGATGTCACATGATGGCAGTGCACAGGAAAGCTATAAGGCGAACATTCCACTGCCATAGCATCCATGCGTGACAGCATGAACCCCTCTCCAAGGGCAGCGCCCATGTGGCCTAGGCAGACTCCTAGGCCCCACCTCTTCATCCTCACAGCACAATGGCAAGTACACTCCAGCCTGGGCTTTGGAGGAGGCCCTGAACCACAGTGCAGTCTCACACCCCTGCCATCAAAGCAAAGCCCTCAGAGCTGCCATGCCTCCACATGTCACCATCTCTGTAGCCTTCAACAACTCGTGGGTGCTCCCAGCTCTTCTCTTCGGCAGAGTGATAGCTGGGGAGTCCTTAATGTGGCTTTCCCTGTCTCGTTGTCTGCTTGGGTCCTTTTCCTGCATTCCAGATATAACCCTTCCTGTGGTTTGTCAACTGTCCTGAAGGCATTTTCCCAGGCAGCAGTCCTTGGTGTCTGGGTTTGGCCCTGAAGCTGAGCACACTGAATGGCATGGAGTAAGTCTGCTGCAGCTGTACTTAAGTTCGCATCTCTAAACCAGGATGGGGATGGAGGGTGGGTGGGTACCCAAGTCATTAGGCTGTCGGGACCCTTCAGTGAAAAGCTGCAGGTGGCTTACTTAGACCAGTGCCTGACAAACAATATACTATAAGCAGACCGCTGCCTGGTTCCTAGCCAGGAGGGGAGCATCACACTTGGCTCTGGTCCTTCATATCAAGATATATCTGCTAGCTGCCGGTATCTGGGACACTGCTCAAAGGGCAGCTTGGGCTCTCTAGCAGTCACTTTCTTCTGTGACTCCTGCGGTCAAGCAGGAGAAGGAAGAGGGAGGCTGGGCCTATGAGGCCCTCATCACCCTGCTGTGCCTGTCACCACCTCTCAGGATTCCCCTGAGTTGGGCAGCTCTAATGTGAGGCACCTGAAAGTGGATACTGGCAATGGGGAAGACTAGAATCAACTCATATGCCACCCAGACATAGTTACCAGGTGGGAAATGTGTCGATACCATCTAACAAGGCATGAAATCACATGCTGCTAGAAGAGCCCCTGATTCTGCTACCATGACTTGATTTCTCCAGGTCTCTGACTTTTTCAAATTAGAGTATTCTTGTAGTTCTCCCTCCTAAGGCAGTATCACAAATTTCTTGCAAGTTTCTATTCAGTAGTTACATCTTGTGACAGTGCAAACACTGGGTACCCGTGAAGGAAACAGTGTCCTCGGGGGACCTTCTGGCTCCATCCTTGGGTTCTAAGGACAAGCCAAGCCTCCTTCAGATCTGGAGGTACTAAGGTTAGCAGCAGCCTTGCTGGGGTCAAGGCAGGAAGCAGACACAAGGCCAGGGGCAGTGACCTCAGTGTTAACAGCATGTGCCTGGTAGAGTGGTAGGCTGGGAAGTAGAGGGCAGGCGAGCCTCCTGCTTAGCTTGGTGGGGGGGTTCAATCCTGATGGCAGTATTGCTTAGGGAAGTTGCATGGGCCATGGCTGTGGTTGAAAAGTTGCCTCACTCACCTATTCTTTAGCGCGTTTCCATTGAGCCTCCTTGTATCAAGTCATGGTAGATGGTAGGGGAGGATTCATATTAGTCACACAATACATCACCTGTGTTTGAAAGGGCAGATTCAATGCCAGGCGTGGTGAAGGAATCCCTGTACCAGAGGTCACAATTAACTCCCCATGGGATGAGTTAGGGCTTTGTGAGCGATGAGGTGACATTGTGTCAAAGACTGGCTCCACATCAGCCTGAGTGTCCTCAAATTTAATCTAGAAGCACAGAGTCATCTTTGAAGGTGCTCACCAGTGAATGCTCTTGCATCTGTAGTGTCCCCCGTGACCCTGTCCCCTGACTCCTGGGGAGGCCAGCATGTCTGCACTATGTATACATGGGCTTAATAAAGCCACCGGGCTTCAAGTTCAGTGCCTCTGAATTGCACACTGCCTGTTGCTCCTAGGACTGTGGTCCTCCTCCCTACACCCACAGGCTATTATCTCATTTGAGTTGGGGAAGAAGTTCAGGTTAGCCTGTAGTTTTGTATGAATGGGTTGAGATGTACCTGCCTACTGCTTTAGGGACTTCTAGGGTTAGCAGCTGACACCACCATCTAACCATGAGCTTTCCCAGAGCCTCCCTCAGGAGCTTTCAGGTTAGATTTGCCACTTCAGCATAATGGCCTTTCTTCTCTTTACCCTCAGATTTGCTGACAGTTGTTCAGTTTGAGAAATAAGTGGTTTCCTCTTGTTGGCTAGTCTTCAGCTTCTCTGAGGCAGCTTCCAAGATGGCAGCTGGGGTGAGCTTGGGGATGTACCTCCGCATGTGTGTCAGAGGTTGACGATTTATGGTGCCTACAGCTTTATGGGAACAGAAGCACTTTCAGCCATCTTCCAGGATGGCCAGGAGCTCCTCAGCCCATTTCCCTGTGTACATTTTAGAAGCTCAACTGTGGCTCAGTCAGAAAACAGGCTGCTTGAAGCCCCCTCCCGATATGCCCCATGTGAAGCTGCTGCCTGGGTCTCCTGACATGACTTTGTGATGGCACAGGCTACTCTGCGGAGACAGGAAGTTGCAGGCTCCTCTCTCCAGGTCCCTTGTCAATTCCTTGTGCCCAGACTCACGACCGGATGTCATGCTCAGTGAGGCAAATAAAGGCTCATGTTACCCTGGATTGCGTCCTGAAGGAGAACTGAGAAGAGGCATTGTAGTAAGGCTCCAAGTGGAATCAACTGAGTCTAGTTTATTTTCCTATCTTGTAGTTTCTGACCTTGAATTTCACTTTAGGAGCTTGTACCAAGAAGATGCAGTGCAGCGCCAATTTCCTGACCCACCCACCATCCCAGCCCAACAGAGCCCCCTGACTGAACCTCCCTCTGGCCCCTGTGGGCAGGAAGTCACACCATGCCTCACAGGTGTATTTCCACCTCACCAGGCTTTCTCCTGTGCCTGTGTCCTGTGCCTGCCCCTGAGTAAGTGGCAGCAGCCTAATGTCCCTTCACAGTCCATTACAAAAGCTATTCTTCCCGCATTAGAGCCATTTCTGTCAGGGTGTCTTTAATCAGTGGCTTCCCAAGGGACAGTATTTTTAGAAGTTGTGTTTTTCACAGCCTTCCCTTTTCCCTTTTGGAAACATTCTTCCTGTGCTGAGTGCAGTGCACTAATGAGATGCCAGGAGAGTTGGGGCCAGTGCTAATTGGAACAGGTACAGGGGAAGCCGCGCACACCCGCCTTATCTTACCTGTGACCCTCTTCTCATTTCTGTGCTGCAGGTTGCACAGACAGCAGATGGTGTGGATGCTGACCTCTGGAAGGACGGCTTATTCAAGTCCAAGGTTACCAGATACCTGTGTTTCACGAGATCATTTTCCAAAGAAAATGTGAGTCTGATGGTAGTTCCCTTTGCTGAGTGGGCAGGAATAATTTACATTCCTGGTTGGGGTTTCCTCTTTGTGTGTGTGCTTTATGTTCATTGCTGTATTAATTTATCTGTGGTTTCAGTGAACAGGGTAGAATTGGCAGCCAGCACCATGTTTCATTTATTAACAACATTATTAACCACGTCCCCAAGTGCACAGTGAATTCCATTAAGATGTTGTCTCTAAAGGAGACCAGAAAATGCTCTCACTGCTCTCTCATTTGCCTACTGTTCCTGCGAGTGGGCCTTGTGGATGGAACAGAGTCTCCGAGGGTGGTTCGAATGAATAGCAGCTCGCAGAGGGCAGATCAGCTCAGTGGAGGGTCCCTGGCACCCACTACACCATACCTGTCCCCAAACATGATACAGCCTCTGTGTGACATGGGACATGTCACCATTTTTACAGAGAGGTATCCACCTGTGTATAATTCTCTTGTACTGGTTTTGGACACTTGAGCCCATGAACTAGGAAACTTTAAAGAAAGCTACAAGAGCTTTCCCATTGAGGCATTTTAGAAAAAGGGGCAATAGTCTTGGTGAGTCTCCCGTGAGAGGCCCACCTGTGACTGTACATGGTTTCCTCCCAAGATGACCTTCTGCTTATGCTCCCTCCATGGTAGTGAAGTCACTGCCCCTCTCTGGGTCAGAGATAATTTGTCTCTTCTAATTCAGATACTTGTTTTTTGAAATATATTTTACCAATTTATAAATTTAATTTTAATGGTAATGTATTTTGTAGTTTCAAAAAAACCACACAACATAAAACATGCCGAACAATAGAGGCCTTCTTCACCAGAGCCTCCATGTTCATCACAGCCTCCCTGCCCATCACAGCCTCCCTGTCCATCACAGCCTCCCTGTCCTGCCCATCACAGTCTCCCTGTCCATCACAGATTCCCTGTCCATCACAGCCTCCCTGCCCTGCCCATCACAGCCTCCCTGTCCATCACAGCCTCCCTGCCCATCACAGCCTCCCTGTCCATCACAGCCTCCCTGTCCTGCCCATCACAGTCTCCCTGTCCATCACAGATTCCCTGTCCATCACAGCCTCCCTGCCCTGCCCATCACAGCCTCCCTGTCCATCACAGCCTCCCTGTCCATCACAGCCTCCCTGTCCATCACAGCCTCTCTGTCCTGCCTATCACAGCCTCCCTGTCCATCACAGATTCCCTGTCCATCACAGCCTCCCTGTCCTGTCCATCACAGATTCCCTGTCCATCACAGCCTCCCTGTCCTGCCCATCACAGCCTCCCTCTCCATCCCAGCTTCGTTTTCTGTCACAACCTCTCTATCACAGCCCTTCCCATCATCATAACCCTCCAGCCTGGGGTTCCACTGCCAGTTCCAGGTTTGCCCCTTCAGCAATGTCTGAATGTGGACTGTGATCACACACTGTCTGTTGCTCATTGATAATTCTTTGTTATGAATATTGTTCCTAACATGTTCAGAATGAGGGGTGAAGTCTTCCCCTTAAGCTCCCCTCTAATTACAAGAACAATGCATTTGATGTTTGTAAAGTACAGAGTTTTTTAGTGAAATGGAGAATCTTTTTCTATCATGCCTTTGAATGTACATTCAGTACCAGGATGGTGGCAGTTGAGCCAGCACAGGCACCTGCACAGTGGTTGTGGTGTGTCTGCACAGATCCTTTGCTCTCACTGTAGCCTGATGAGACTCCACAGAGTAGGGCTGAGGTGGCATCAGCACACCAGATGAGGCTCAGGAGGTTATCAGTAGACCCATCAACTATCCTCATGAAGCTGCACCCTCATGCAGCTGCACCCTCATGCAGCTGCACCCTCATGCAGCTGCACCTTCATACAATTGCACCTTCATGCACCTTCCTCAGGCCCTTTGTCCCTGGAGCCTGCTTTTTGTTCCTGGTGCCTTTGATCTGTCCACTGACTACTGCTCCTTGTGCACTGCCATGGGTTCACTGCTGCCAAACTCTCAGGAGGAAGTCCCAAAGACTTGGTCAAGCACCTTGACTAAGTTACTTTTCTGTTGCTGTGATTAAACACCATGACCAAGGCAGCTTACAGAAGGAGGGGTGAATTTTGGCTTATAGTTCTAGAGGGATAAAAATCCATCAAGGCAGGGAGGCGTGGCTGCAAGTATAAGGTGTGGCCACAATGGAAGGCGTGGTGTTAAAAGCAGGAACCTGAGAGCTCACGTCCTCAATGGCAAGCACGAAGGAGAGGGAGAACTGAAAGTGGTGTGAGCTTTTCCACTCTCCAAGGCTGCCCCCAGTCACATACTTCCGCTAGCAAGGCGCACCTCTGAAACCTTCCCTAAGAGTCCCACAGAGTGGGGACCAAGTGTCCACATCATCAACACTATGTAGGACATTTCTCACTCAAATCACCCCAGCCCTGTGCTCAGAGGATAGCCACAATCCTGGGGCTTGCTACATTTCCTCCTGAAACCCATGAGGTATTGATCTTCTAGGCAGAAGAGTTCTTGAAGTCCTGGGAATGTGGACAGCAACAAGTCCATTATGATTCAGAGAAAGCACCGGGTCATTAGTTTGAAATTGATTATAGAAAACACAATTTTGAGGCTTGAGGACTTGCTTAGTGGTAGAGCACTTGCTTAGCAGGCATGGTGCCCTGGGTTCAGTCCCTGGCTCTTCTAGAAAACATGTTGCTGTCCATCAGTAGTAGCTGGGTGCTAGAAGTCATAAGGGTATGAGGCTGCCAGGAGGGTAGCCATAGAAGCCCCTATCCCCTACTGAAGCCTAGGTACACCTTTTTTTATGGAAAGAGAATGAATGTGTCCAGTGCTGGGAAGCTCACTTAGCAGTTCCATCCTCATATTAGGACATCCAAGTGATCAAATTGGGGCATAGAATTTGTTTGGGATCAAATTTTGACAACGACAATGCTCCCTTGCCAATTCTCTCGTGAGGCAGGAGCTAGGCACATGCTAACCAGTGGTGACTGCCTGTCTGTCCTGACATAGAGTCAGAACACAGGGTTGGCAGAGTTATCATTTTACAACCATATGGGAGGGTGTGGGATCTCGAGAGCAGGCCAAGTCTTAATTAGGTGACTTGAGACTCGAAGCATAGGAGTTTGGGAGCTTCCTTGGAATCCTAAATTCTTTTCCCCCCAATCAGGCCATTAATATAGAAACCTGGCTTTAGAGTGACATTGCTTCCTGGGGAAGGAGTGAGATTAATTGCACTTTTCATGGCCTGTACTTTCTGCATTACCTGTAATAATAATGTACATAGATTAGGTAGGGAGGATGTTAAACAGAAGGATTTATGAACATTTGAATATTAAGTTGGTTATCTGTGGCTACCTTAAATGCAAAGTTGTCAAAAATAATTACAGTATACTAGCAACTACTGGCTACCAGAGACAATATAAATACCCTGAGTCAGTGTATATCGGGCTGCTGGTATGAATCATTTGCTCAACAAGGATTGGGAATACGTTCTTCATATTTATGAGGAGGAAATGAAAGAGAGCACAAGTGGGGGAGGGAAAGGAACCAGAAAAATTAATGGTGTTATGGGCCTATGGTATAAAAAAAAGAAAGAGAGAGGCAGAGAGAGAGAGAGAGAGAGAGGAAGAGAGGGAGAGAGAGAGAGAGAGAGGAAGAGAGGGAGAGAGAGAGAGAATAACCCACAGAGGGGCAGCCCCATGGAAGAGAGCCACACTCAGATTGCTGGAAGCTTCTATGGAGTAGTCTCCCATTTTGTATGTGTGGAAGGGATTCCATATGCTTGTTTTAATGGCCACACCACCAGTGCTATGATTTTATGATTAGGACATTTTCTCAGAGTGGGGAGGGTGAGGTTGCTAAATGGTTTGCAGTTGACGGCTACCGAGTCCTGCTTGTCACACTGAAGATGTTCAGCCACAATATTGATGGTCGCCCATCCATTTATGGGGCAGCAGAACACGCCCAGTTGTTAATTTCTCAATGCAGAAAGCAGTGGTGACTGGAAGAGCAGCTGCCTCAGGAACAAAGGCAGTGAGTGGTGTTCCCAAGTTTCCTGGTAGAACCTAGCCTTCCTGGATAGTCAGAAGTCTGTTCCACGTTAGAGAGGGCCTGCTCCTCACATGCTGCACTTCAGTGTGTACAGTCTTCCTGACCCTGGGCCCTGAGCTGCGGTAACACGGAACTGTTGGCAAGCACAGGGATGTTGAGAGAAAGGACAGGTGTCTGATGGGACAGTCACGGAAGTGCTGGGCACAGGCTACACACGCCAGTCTGACTTCTGAATTTCACCTGAGGCCTGTTTTACTTATGCACCATAATAAGCAATAATAAACTTTTAGACTTTGGGTGACCATTTCAATTTGCCATCCAAGGAAGTCTGGTTTGGTTTCTGGTCACCAGCACCCACTCAGTTGAAAAGTGTATCACCAAATGTAGTTGGAATTTTCTTTGGGCCACCAACCAGCTCTCAGAGATACTGAGATTTACTAAGTATGATTGCTCAGCCTTAGATTAGGCTTGCCCCACTGGCTCTTTTAACTTAATTTAACCTCTTTTGTTCATCTATGTTTTACCTTGGGGCTTTCTACCTTTCATTCTGCATGTTCTACTTTCCTGCTTCCTCGAGTCTGTCTGACTGGTCCCTCATCTCCTTGGCATCTCTTTTTCTTTCCTCCACAGCCTAAATTCCTCCTTCTACTTACTCTCCCTGCCTGGGAGTCCCACCTATACTTCCTCCCTCACTATTGACCATTCAGCTTCTTATTAGACCAATCAGGTACCTTAGGCAGGCAAGGTAAAACAGCAATACATCTTTATATAATAAAACAAATGCAACAATGTGTATGTAGTTAAACAAATATTCTGCAACATAAACAAATGCAACACATTTTTGCATAGTTAAATATTCTGCAACAACCAGACATTATTTGTTTAGCCAATAATTATTGAGTCCATACTGTGTGCCAGGAGCTATGCAAGCTTGGTTGAGCAATAGGAGCAGGGGTCATTTTGGTTCTTATTTAGTAGTACAGATGGGTTCTCAGTGCAGTTTCTGTAATGATATCTTTGAAGATGGTAGGTAGATGGATACCTCACAGTGTCTGTCCTAGTCAATGTTCTGTTGCTGTGAAGAGTCACTAAGGTCAAGTCACCTCATAAAAGATGGCATTTAGCTGGGGGCTTGTCTGTAGTTCATTATCATCATGGCAGGGAGCATGGTGGCACACAGGGAGACATTGTGCTGGAGCAGTCACTGAGAGTTGCATCCTGGTCCACTAGTTAAGAGAGAGACGCTAGGCCTGGCATGGGCTTTTGAAACCTCAAAGCCCACCCCCATTGACATGCTTTCTCCAACAAGGCCACACCTCCAAATCCTTTTCAAGTAATTCCACTCCCTGATGACTAAGCATTCAAATCTATGAGCCTATGTGGGCCAATCTTACTCAAACCACCATGGAGTCCAATTATAAATTGATAGGAAGTTAAAAGGAGCTTAAGGAGAGAGTGCCTGGCTTAGTTCAGAAAGCAAAAGTTCCCTGTGTAGATTTCGGAGATGCCTGTGCTCTCAGGATGGAGGTGGAGTCTTTGTTCCTCAAGCTCAGAGTTGGAAGCAATGCCTTCCCTAAGCAGCAGGGGAATAAGGGCTTGAGAGGACCCTGTGAGGACAGCCTGGCTGACCCCATAGATATTTTTCTGGGACTGAGGACAGGCAAACTGAGCATGCATTCAAACGGGGCTTTGGAGGACAGTGCTTCTGCAGAGTGGGCACACAGCATGTTGCTGTAATCCTACCAGGAGAGATTTGGACTGGGAACCTATTTTTCTTGCCTTAACTGGCTCTGATGAGGCTGAGATGAGTCTGAAATGTGAATGTAATCTCCACAACAGCCCTGCATTGGAAGATTTCTTGAGAGCCGTTTCTAGAGTGAAGTAAAAGCTGCAAGTGCTGGCGTGTTTGTAAAGAATTCTCTCTTGCAATTATAGAATGGTGTGCCACCTACCATCTTCAAAAGATGTCTATACAGAAACTGTGCACTGTGGACCCCTCTGCCACCACTAGATAGGAACTCTTATGAGCCCCCAGCAAGCCATTTTAGAAGGCATGGGATACGGAGGTGGCTAGGCTGCCATTCTGTTAGTTTATGATTCTTGGGATTTTGTAAAATGCATCTTGTAACTAAAAACTGTCTGCAGCCAACAACCCCTTAGAAATGTGATCAGTCCCTATTCAGTTCAGTCCCTTTTCAGACTCCTCTCCTGCAAGCATCCAAGAACCTCCTCTATTTAAAACCTGCTGACCCTGAGAAGTGGTGGAGTCTAGACCACATGTCCACCTGCCCTCTGCTGGGTTCTGTCTACTGGGTTCATCCAGCTCATCAAGGCCACATCTCAGTGAGTGGCTTTGAGGTTTCACAGATGAACCCCCCCTTCCTGAGGTACACTATATTCCCTGGATATTGCTGGGGAACATTAGGTATCTTTGTTATTAACCTGCTCTGGTAAAGCTGCAGCAGCAATCACTGTATTGAATACCCATCCTAAAGCTAAGACTTCAAACTGGCTGAGAAGTTCCAATTAATAGTCTGTGTGTCTTTTCTTCTTCTCAAGAGTCACTTGGGGAATGTGCTGGTGGACATGAAGCTCATCGATGTCAAGGACACATTGCCTGTGGGTTTCATCCCTATCCAGGAGACGGTGGACACACGTGAGTCAGCCCTTAGCATGCTTGCCTCAGGGACAGTCTCCTTCTCTTCCAGGTGGACTTTTAAATACTTTCTGTGTGTTTTTATCTGGAAACATTTGATGGGACGTCCTCTTGATGAAGAAGAGAGCCTGCCACTTGTGACATCTGCCTGGGTTCTGTGTGTATCCAAAGAGTATATGGGGCCCTGCCTGCAAGTGAGCAGAGTCACTTTCCTTAGAATGATGCCCTTGCTGCTTGGGACCACTCAAGAACAGAACAATGAGTTTAGGGATATTTGGGCTTTACTCTGCCTTCAGCTGTAGCTGAAGCCAAGCTTGGCATGAGACCCTAAAGCAAAAGAGAGGAAGGGCAGAGACCAAAAGATACCTGGGGGCTGCAAGAAACAGTTCTGTGCCTGGTTTGGGGTGCACAGAGCAAATGAGACACGTGAACCAGAAAGACGGCAAGTTAGACATGCAAGATCAAACTGGAGCTGGGTATAGTGGCTCAAACTCGTGGTCCCAGCACTTGGAAGGTGGGGGTAGAAAGATCAGGAGTCAAGGTCATCCTTCACTACATAGCAAATGTGAGGCCGCTTGGGCTACATGAGATCCTGTCTATTACAAAACAACAACAACCAAAACTTAAATAAAACAAGATTTGAATTAGACGAGAAATAAAACAAGATATGAATTAGGTGAGATGTTCTAACCACTGAACAACATTGTACTGAGGGGAGCAGCAGAGAACTGGGAATGGAGAAGCTGCATCAGAATCCTGTGGTTCTAGAGGGCTCTGACTAGGGTCCTGAGTGCTAGGGCTGGTATTCTGGAAGGCTAGGGCCGGGGTCCTGGGGGGCTAGAGCCAGGGTCCTGGGGGGCTAGGGCCAGGTTCCTAGGGGGATAGGGCCAGGGTCCTGAGGGGATAGGGCTAGAATTCTGGAGAGCTAGTGGCTGAGGTCCTGGGGTGCTGGTTGTAATAGCAGGGCTGGTAAAGTATATCTGAGCTTCTTTGTTTGGGCGTACATTAACTTGATGTATTTATAATTATTCATGAGCTATTCCACAACAGTAAGGCAGTGAGACAGTGAATAAGAGAACAGAGATCCCTTTATCTGTGAAACTCCTTTATGGAATTCTATATTCTTTTACATTCACTTTATATATATATGTATATGTATATATATGTGTATATATATATATATTTTTTTTTTCATGGTGAGAACATTCCTGAACCATTACTTGCTTGCCGTTTTCTTGTTTGCATTTCAAACTGAACAGCTTCCATGTCTCCATGGCCACCCCCAATGGAACTTATTTCAGCAAAGCAACCGATCCCTCACTGACTGCTTTCATTTGTGTGCTGTGATGTGTCCCAGCAAATGTCATGGTGCTGGTTGGTTTTAACTGCCACTTTGACATAGTCCTGAATCACCATAGAAGGGCATCTCAGCTGAGGGATCATTGGATCAGATTGGCCTCTGGGCATGCTTGCAGGGAAGTTGTCATGCTTGTTAACTGACCCAGCCCATTATGGGTGGCACCCTTCCTTCCCTGGGCAGGAGGTCCTGGGCTGTGTGTGGGTAGAGGGGTCCAGCTGAGTGTAAACTTGGAGGAAGCTTGTTTCTCTCTGCTCTTGACTCGCTTTTTGAGTTCCTGTCTTGGCTTCTCCTTAATGATAGACTCTAGCCTGGAATTGTAAGCCAAATAAACCAATTCTTCCACAGCTTCCCTTTGGTCAGGGTGTTTTATCACAGCAACAAAATGAAATAGGACATTGATATTCACTGTGTTTCATGTAAGGCCCCCATGATAAATGCTTCACCCTCACGATGTCATTTATCTTTAGGAGATCTCTGTAGAGATGGGCATTGGGCCTGTTTTGTATATGAGAAAAACAAGACACAGTGACTGCATTTTATCCAAGAGCAAGAACATACCCACATACAAACACAGATGCACACGTAAGCACACATGGACATACATACACATAGACATGCATATGCATGCAAACATGTGTGCATACATATATACATACATGTGCATAAATACACCTGATACATACATGCTTTCACATGTGGACATATGCACATAACACATGTGTACATGCATATAATCATGTGTATATGCACACACACCTACAAATGCACATGCATGTACACAGACACATATATACACATGTATACACATGCAGGAATACATACACACATGCACCTATATATACTCATGCACACACACACAGAGAACATACAAATGTTTGCACATGCACCTTGAACATACAGATTTTCTAAGTACCAGGGGATTTTTTTTTTTATAATGGTTTAAGATACAGTTCAAATACCATGTAATTCACACAGTCCAATTCTTCTTAGAATATTCACTTTCCATTGTGGTCCTTTTGTCACCACCACAGTTGTCCTCAAAGCAGGCACCGATGTCATGGAGACTTCCTAGCCCTCACCTCCCTGTCCCCACCAGCTGGTGCTTTCTGCAGAGTTCTGCCTATTTCTTGTAGTTCTTCCACATTGGCATGCCAGGCTGGGGAAATGACCTTTGGATAAGTCCTTGCTGCACAGAATCCAAACCCAAGCAGCCAACTGAAGGAAGGGCCCGTCCACCTCTGGATCCTCTGTTGGAACCAACCCTTACCTCTTGTCTCTCTGTGCTCATGTCCAGTCTGGCCCTACTGCTTGAGCTTGTGAACCCCAAGCAGGTCCTCTCAAACTCCTGGCTCAGTTTACCCATATGTCAGTAAAGGAGGCCACTCTCTGCCTTATAAGGTTGCTGGAGCATATTGGTCTTTCAAGTTGGCCTTGCTAGCTGTCTGACCTCCATGAAGGCCCCTCACTGTCTGGTAGCAGCAACAGCTCTATTTCCTACTATCTCCTAGTGCAGGCACTCTGCCTCTTACTTTGTTTTACTATTTAAATTGTATTTAATTTGTAATTTGTTCCTTATTATTAGCAAGCCTGAGTGCTTTTGTAAATGTTTGCTTGTAAAACTTTGCCTTTTGATATGTGAATTCTCTGCTTACAAATTTAAAAAGGCCTTGTTGATTTGTATTTACTCCCATTTTCTTCCTGGAGTTTTCAAAGTCTTAAATATTTCCTTGATGTTCATTTTTGACAGCTAATTGATGTATAATATCTTTTGTATGGATACATGGCATAGCCACAAGGGATTTCCCATTCAGTATTTCCTGTTTGTTGAGCTCATTTAGTGAGGAGGCCCTGTTGTGGGCCTGTGCTGTGACTGCTGGGGGCCCAGTGGGTCTGATTGGGAAGCCGCCATGTTTGTATCAGGTGCTGTCCAGTGGGTCCTGTGCTCTCTATCAGGTGTCTAAAAGCACACCTCTGGTCAAGGGACCATTTCTCAATGACTTCCCAGGGGACCAAAAGCCTCATGGTCAGCCCAGGATCTCCTGAGAGTACTTAAAGCCTTTATTTCATGGAGTCAGCCAAAAAGATGAGAACCCTGTAATTAATTTAAAATATGGCCTGTTGCAGTCCATGCAGTGCTGAAACACTAGAAGACTGTTTGTTTTAGTAAAGTGCTGTGTACTCTCCCTGTGTTCATTAGCATGACTGAACACATTTCTATTGACTATGTATAATATGTTTACTTAAAATGAGGCCTGCTTAAGCATGTGTAATGAATGAGAGGATCCGTCCTTGACTGAGCTGGCTGCAGATGGAGACATGGAGCCAAGCTGAGGCAAAGGCTAGCAGGATATCTGCCCCATAGTTCACCTCGGGGGAGGTCTCTAGTGCATCTCCTTCAGGACTTGAACTTGGTAGCTAGTGGTGTGAGGTACAGGGTTGTATGGCACACCTTTCCTCCAGGGTACCATCTTTGTCACAAGGAGGATGTTTGCTGAGTGGATCACAGACATTTCTACAGCTTGAAGATGTGGCCCTTTGCTTTTATTTTTGGGAAAGGACTCATAGGATTTGGGCATTTCAGCCTGACTTTTTGTTTGCCTGTTTGTTTGTTTGTTTGTTTGTAGACAGGGTTTCTCTGTGTTGCCCTGACTGTCCTGGAACTCACTGTGTAGATCAGGCTGACCTTGAACTCAGGGATCTGGCTGCCCCTGCCTACCAAGTGCTGGGATTAAAATTGTATGCCACCAGCCACCACTGCCCAGCTCAGCCTAGCTTTTTAAAAAGACACCCCTCTTTCCCCAAAATGTAACAAAGACCCAACAATACTGCTGATTCTACCAGGCTCATAGGACCACCCTTCCCCTGCCTTTGTGCCTCCAACAGGACCATGCATAAATGGTTACAAATTCTGCCACTTGAGGGTCAGTCCTAAGCCCAGCTGTTAGTGCACACTGGGCTGGCTTGCCAATCCCTCCTAACTGTTCTCTATTGAGCACTTACTGTGTGCCCAGAACTGGCCAAGAAATCATGTTACCACGCTGCATCTACCCAGATTCCTCTGGAGTGGGCCATCATGTAGGTAGGTCCCTTCTACAGACAGCAAAACTGAGGGTCAGAGGGTTGAAGTGACTTCCAAGGTACCTGGGCCAGCAGTGGCAGAGCTGGGGTTCCAACCCAGATCCTACTGATGAAGCCAGCTGTGATGGCCACACCTGTAATCCCAGCATTAATGAGACTGAGGCAGGAAGATTGCAAGTTTTGACACTGATCTAGACTATATAATGAGACCCTGTCTCAAACAAACCCCACACCAGGCAACTAGGTGCTGAGTGTGGAAGAAATAGGTTTCTCCAGAGAAGGGCATCTCCAGTTTGTCACCTGCTACCAAATGGTGGGCCCTGAAATCGTATACATACAGGAAATATTATAGAGACTGAACAGGTTGTATCTATATATTTAGGACCATATACATAATAACAATTAAGGAAAAAGAGGTCAGGAGTCATGAATTTAGAAGAGCAACAGGGATGTATATAGGAGGGCTAGAGGGAAGAAAGGGAAAATGATGTATTTTAATTAAAAAAAAAACCCACATTATCCAACTGAAAGACTCATGCACTGTTAGGAAAAGTTCAGAACCATGAATGAGCCACCTTGATGGGTACTGTCATTCATTGCTAGAGCGCTAGCCCATGGTGTGCAGGCTGACAGTTGACAGAGAAGAGCCACACACTTGCATGCATTCCTACTCAAGACCTACCTCAAGGCACCAAAGAGTCAGTGAAGAGGAGTTCAGTTTTAGATAGAAGAACTTGAACTCAACAGGACAGAAGAAGTGGCAGAATTTGGAGAATTGCTGCTTTGAACCCAAGAACCAAGGAGTGGCTCTTAGCTATAAGCATCTTAAAAAAAAAAAAAAAAAAACTCCAGCCAGAACAGTGCACATGGGTGTTATTCAGGTCTCAGGCCCTTGCTATGGAACTCGGTGCATAGGCCCTGGGAGGCTATACATGCACTGCCTTCCAGAAAGGTCTGACCTGGGCCAAAGCCAGCCAGCTTTGATATGTTACTGGACAGGGGCAGTCCTAAATCCTGCCTTTCTGTGCCACAGAGCCACAAGGAGCAAGTGGTTATAGAGCAAAGGGGATCCTGGGGACCTGCCAGCCCACTGCAAAGCACACAGCTTCTAGATGCTAAGCTAGACAAGGCAGGGCAGGGCATTGTGCAATGACTGAGAAACTTGAATTCAGACCCTTCCAGGGTAGGGCTGGGCGACATGATGTATGTAGTGTGGGGATTTGTTCCATATATCCAGACAGAAAGATTAAAGGTGTGTCAAGAGTGGAGCCAGTGTGCTGACTAGGGGCTGGCGGCCCTGCCCTCCAGTTCTCACGCCTTGGGGTATGCTTGAAGATTCCTATAATAAAAAAGTGAAAGAGAAGAGGAGCCTGACAGTGGGTGTCCTGGTGGGTGTCCATACTGTGGCCGTGGCCTACAGAAGCTGCAGTGGCTCTGTGGCAGTAGTTGTGGGAGCTCGTCCTTGGCCAGCATGTCTGGGGTCAGGCCCTGGATGCAGGGCAGTGTCCTTGGTGGCCTCAAGAAAGGCAAAAGTGGAGCTTAGCTCCTCTTCCAGGTGACAGGGTGACCCATCCCTTCAGCCCAAAGGGGAGAGCAGGTGGCATCTCTATCAGACTCACACCTTTCTGCTGTCCCTTCCTTAGAGGAGGTGGCCTTCAGGAAGAAGAGGCTATGCATTAAATTTATTCCTCGAGATTCAACCGAAGCTGCCATCTGTGACATCCGCATCATGGGCCGGACCAAGCAGGCACCTCCCCAGTATACATTTATTGGGTAAGTCCCAACAGTATTTCCACACACAGATCTCCCTCCCCTGAGAGTTATTTGGGCCACTCCTGAGCCCAAGACTTGAGAAGTCTGCCTGGCTCACAAGACTGGGCCATCATCCATGGCTCTTGGTGTTGGTACTTATCACTGACTCTGCCCTCAGCCTACCTTAACTCATGGTGTAGCTCCATCCTGGGGCCTTCTGTTCCCCTTTACCTGCTGCCCTGATGTTACTGTGGTCCTCAACTCCTCACACTGGGGCATTTTATGGTCATCCTTTTTGTGCCACTGGGGTGGGGGGAGACAAGTCCCTGCCCTCACAGAGAAGCTGCTCTGGAGTGAGATGCACAATGAGCAAGAAGATAAACAAGGTTGTTTCAGACAGTGATGGGAATGTAACTGACTTTGTGGTGAGTAGCTGGGGCTACTCCAGTTAAGACAGGAGGCAGGGATACGAAGCAAAGATCTCCGAGACAGGAGAACCAGCTGTGAAGAGGCTGGACTGGGTGGGCAGATTGAGAGCGAGTGTGGCACACCCTGGGAATAGACGCCCACACCAGGGGTCGTGTTGGGCCCAGAGGGAAATAGGGTCCCTGGGTTTTATTCTAGGCACATTGGTTGCAATTCAGAAAAAAAAAAAAAAAACCCACATATTACAGGACCCTACAATGCATGTCTTCTAACAGCAGGGAATTTGCTGGAGGCTGGGCCCATCAAGGCCTGATCTCCTACAGAAGTGAGCAGGGCCTAGCTCCAAGATGTTCTGTAAACTCCAAATCCAGGCAAATCCTAGCACTTCAATTTGGACCCCCATGAGCCCAAGTGACAGGAAGCCCCACCCAGAGTGGCTTAAGCAAAAGGAAGCATTTGTTGGCTAACGCAGCGGTCAGGCTTAGGCAGGCAGAAGTATGAACTCAGAGAATGAGAACACCTGATTTCCTGCCCTCAGTCCTCTGGAGGGACCCATCTGACACCTTTTTTCTCTGGGGAGGCATGGCACTTCTGTCCCTCTGCCGGCTGCCCTTTAGGAGCAGGTCCAGAGACAAGAACGTATGCCTTCCTGTGGTTCCCATCACAGTTATAGAATTCAGTGTCCTTGGTCTTGATTCATCTGATCACCATCATGTGAACCCCTCTCTGGTCACTGTTACCCGGGAAAGATCATGCCCTCCATGGCCAGCCTCAGCTAGAAATAAGGACTGCTTCATTAGAGCTCAAGGAAGAATAGTGGATGGGGTGGCTGTGCCAAAATGTGCAGGGGGTAAAATGTCAGGAAGGTGGGGCTGGATGAGGCTGGGGTGGATCTGGGGCAGGGCTGGATGAAGAAAAAGAAATAGATGCTTATTGCACTCACTGCAGTTAAGACTAGGGTCTTGCAGCTGAAGTTGCATCAGCCTCTTCTGCTGTGGATTCATGTATTCTCAACAAGGTAGATTTGGGATGGGCATTAGTGGTAGAGCCCATGCTTAGGGTACACCAAACTCAGCTCCATCCCCTGCCCCAAAAATGAACAAGTAAAGGAAGGGCTCACACCTGCAAATCCTGCTTTGCATCCTGAGTTAAACTAACTGTGCAGGCAGGTTACAGGGTTAGGAAGCAGTTAGCAGAAAATCACACATCACCCCACAGCGTCCATTTACACACAGTACAGCTAACCACTGCACTTTTAAAGAGTATGCATCTACTGTTTACATCTCTTATTACAATACTATTTTTTAATTATTTAACTTCATTTTATGTGCACTGGTATGAATGTATTAGATCCCCTAGAACTGGAGTTACAGACAGTTATGAGACAGTTATGTGGGTGCAGCCAATGCTCTTAGCTGCTGAGCTATTTTTAAAAGCTGCTCTTTTTATTGTTTTAAACAATTCTGAAGACTGGATTTTTTAAAATCAGTGTCTGCCTTGATTTACAAACCTAGAATTTTTCTTCTTTGGTATAATTTTTTAAATGCTTAAGTATGATTTTTATTTCATCCTGGCTATAACATCTTCTCTAAGAAGAAAACATAGCATGGTTTTTAAGTAAGAGAAATTAGTTGAGGATTTAGTATCAAAGTCATTTAATCTGAGTGCCACCATGACAAGAGCCTGAACTTTGCTGAGAGAGGCAGAAAGCTCAGACTGGAAAGGACACAGCCTCCACTGAAGTGGGCGGGCTCTGGAAGGGGCAGCCTGTGGCTGGGTAGAGATGGGTGAACTTCATGGTGCTACAGCTGGCTCACTCTTCTGATAAGGCAAGGTCTGGTTTAAAATAGTCCCTAGGCTACAACCAAGACCCACAGAATAAATGTCTTTAATTTTTGGAAGAGAGGCTGTCCCTTGGCTTGCAGTCCCATAGACACCATTAGAGGCAGCAGGGAGGGCTTGCATGTGGCAGAAATTATCCTGCTGCATTGCCAAGGCTGAGCTTGCCTCATTCATATCACAGGTGTGCAGTGTGGGGCTATCACACCATATAAGGTGTGCATCGACTCTTGGTTGTGCTGGTTTGTGGGCTGTGAGTCTCCAGTTTGAGGCCATCTTCGCAACTGAGGGGCCAAATCCTGACATTTGGAAGTGTTGTGTGGACTTGAAGAATCCTCTATAAATCAAGCATGTGTCTGCCAGACCCCTCCCCACTGTGCTCACGGCACTCTAACCCTAACCGAAGTGAGTACTTGAGACCAGTGAGATGGTAGAACAAAGAGTGTGTGCATGCCAACCGGCAAGGCAGTACAACCAAAGCAAGCAGGCATGCTCAGGTGGGTAAAGATGGCTACAACACAAAGGCTTGCCTAATAGCGCAGCTGCAGTCATGCTAGGCAGTCACGCAAGCCATGAAGGGAGGTGATGGGGCCTGTCTTATACTGTGAGAGCAGCCTCCCTAGGGTTTGAGACAGCTCATAATGAGGTAACGATTGGCTTTGTGGCTCAGGTCAGTGCTCCAAGCTCAGCAGTGTCTTGAAGGTTTTTCTTTTCTCCTGCAGGGAACTGAACAGCATGGGCATCTGGTATCGCATGGGCAGAGTGCCAAGAAACCACGACTCGTCTCAACCCACCACACCCTCACAGTCATCAGCCGCTTCCACCCCAGCCCCAAACCTTCCCAGGTGAGGCTTTGTTGAGGATCTCACCCATGCAATTCCATGACCTTAGCGCCTGCTGAGCCTTGCTGAGTGTTTAGAAAACACTCACTTAACATCTGCTGAAATGTAGCTGAAAATTTGCAGAAGTCTAAACTTGGGCCTTAAAAAGTTACAGTCAGAAATCTGTGTGTTCCATGTTGTGTAAAGTCTCTCAATATTCTATATTGTGGGAATGCTACAGTTTCCCAACACAGCAGGAGCTATGTCTCAAACTTGGTTGGTCAAACAGAACAGGCGTGGTATCTCTCACCCTTAATCCCAGCATTCAGGAGGCAGAGGGCAGAGCTAGGCAGATTTTGAGTTCCAGGCCAGCCTGCTCTACATAGCAAGTTCCAAGATAGCCAAGGCTACATAGTGAGACCCTGTCTCAAAAACCAAACCAGATTAAACAAAACAAAAAAATTGGCTTGCTGTTCAAATGAGCTTATAGATACACAGGTGTGTGTGGCAGCCAGGTGGCTAGTGCCCTGGCTTCCAGAGGGCAGAATTCCCTCTCAGCTCTGCCAGCAACTCCTCAGAGACCCAACAGGACTGGTCAGCTGTCCATGATGTTTGTTCTTTCCAGGGAGGGACTCTTCCATAGCATTTTAAAGGAAAATATCTAAGAAACAGAAAGAAAATACTAACATGATTATAAATTTCATTGTTAATAAATAATTTAACACTTTCCAAAGTAAACCTCTTTAATGTGAAGTTGCCTTAACTAATAGAAAATCACAACCAAATCAGATTATGAATGACAAACCGTTGTTTTTAAATGGGGAGCTGAGCCTGGTGCACACTGTTCTTTTGTTTTGGTTGGAACGGTCCCTTTCTCAGCTCACACTCCATGTGTGCTAGGCTTTCTCACTATGTGCCTCTGAGTTGAAGCCAGTCTCCCTCCTGTCATGTTAGTAGTCCTTACTTAAGCAATTGTCACCCTCAAGACAGCACTAAGATTGTAAAAAATAAACTATACCTATTTAGCTCAACTGCCAAATATGCATTTGTACTGTTCTGTATTTTAAAAATCCTTAGAAAGTGTCAGGTTTTCAGGAAATTACATTTATTGTAATAATAATTAATTCTTCTGCCAGCATCATTTCAGGTCATCATCGCCTGTGCCAGGTGAGGTCAGCTTAGATTTATCTCTGGTGCTCATGGTCAGCTCAAGCTTGGGTTAACTCCAGAGGCTGTGGAGCCCTTGGGGATCAATTGCCTTGAATAAATAGAGCCAGTCCCCAAAGACACATGTGGTCTGGAAGGGCTCAGAAATGGGTATCACCTCAAGTGGTTGCTAATTCCTATTGCATGGAATGAAGCCATTCTACTTTGTTTTCTTTTTTTCTATAATCCATTTATTTTTATTTTATGTGCATTGGTGTTTTGCTTGCATGTATGTCTGTGTGAGGGTGTTGGATCCCTTGGAACTGGAGTTACAGACAGTTGTGAACTGCCATATGGGTGCTGGAAATTGAACCCAGGTTCTCTGGAAGAGCAGCTGGTGCTCTTAACTGCTGAGCCATCTCTCCAGCCCCTCTAATTTGTTTTCTATTGTTGTGAAAACAACCATTGACCAAAAGCAACCTGGGGAAGACAGTTTACGTGGCTCGTGTCTTCCTTTCATAGTCCATCATTGAGGGAATACAGAGTAAGAAACTGAAGTAAAGGCCATGGAGGAGTGTTCTTTTCCCATGGCTTGCTCCCATGGCGGGCTGAACCCCCACACCTCAGTTATTATTAGTCAAGAAAATGCCCCCACAGACTTGCATGTAGACCAGTCTGATGGAGGCATTTTCTCAGTGGAAATTCCCTCTTTCCTAATGACCCTAATGTTCCGGTGACAAAACACTTACTGTGCAGGGTCCCTGTTGGCCCCAAAGAATCAGGAAGAGTGCTCACCCTGTCACAGGAGAGCCAGGTTACCTAACCAGAGCAGACAGCCCATAGTACCCAAGCTCTGGGAGCTGGTGGAGATGGAGGGCGGCATAACACAACACGGTGCTTATAAGGCTTGTGTGTTTTATGACCTTGGTGCACAGTTTATGGTTTACAATGGCTGCAAGGAAATTGGATCAGTTCTGTTTTACTTGCCAAATAAAACAAATGTCAAAATAGTCAATATAAAATGTATTCTAATTTGGCTGAGTTAAGTGAGCCTGCATTCAGGGGGATCACCTCCTGTATGCAAATGCTGCTGTGTGTTTCTCCCAGCTCTCCTCTCTGGCTGGGTGTTGATTTACAGGCAGTGCGTGCCTGTGTGAGCCTCTTAAGTCATCTGGGTTTGGTGTTTTTATCTTTCATGGGTTGGCTCAGATTTTATTCTTTTACTATCCAGAGTCTTTGATTTTTTTTTTTTTCTTTTTAAAAGAATTGTTAGTTACTTCAGTTTTCCATTGAAGACAGGAAGGGTTGAGCATGCTGTTTTGTTCCTCAAGATGCTGGTCTCTATAAGGGAGTGACAGACAGCTTTATGGTAACTGAAAACTCAGTCCCTCCCTTTCCCCCCCCCCCCGACTTTCAGCCTTCTGTGTCCCAGCCATGGGCCCCAGAGTTAAGTCAGACTGGTTCCCCACACTTGTGTTTACTCCTCTTGAGCCTGTGTTCACATGACCCCTGTGTGGGCAGTCCCCCATTGTCACAGCACAGCCTTCTCTAACAGTGAGAACCTCATGTTGCTGCCCCTCCAGGTGACTCCCCATCCCTGAGCACTGCAGTTTCAGTCACAAGAGCAGTAAGTGCTGGTGGGAAATTGGCAGAATGTAGAAAATAATGGGAAAACAAAATCCATTTCCAGTGAGCAAATTCTCATAACCTTTTGTTACATTTCCTTTGAGCTCTCCCCATGTGCTTTTATGTAGGTGACATCATCACATGTATAGCAAGTTCATGATTTTCCCATGGAGCTGGTAAATTGTGTGGGGACACCTGATCCAAGCTCCAAAGCATAGCTGCCAGGAGTGTGGTGGCAGGCTGCCCTCTACTGGCCACCTAGAAGGTGGCAGGCAACATGCTGGGAGGGAGCCAGAGTAAGAGGGAGATGCAGTAGGTGGCAGACAAGCTGTCTCCTGAGCCGGGGAGTCAGTCTCAAAAGCCAAGAACATGTGGTCTGCCAACATTTGGAGTTAAAGTGTTCCCAGCAGCTTTTTGGAGAGCTGTCATTTCCCACTTTACTTTAGACAAAAGGGGCATTTGCTGACCTTTTCACAGGTGACAAGTTGTCACCTTCCCCATCCCAGCCGCATGACCTTCCCTTTCGCACTTGAGCCTTCTTCCCATTGCTGCAGGGGCATTTGTGGTGAGATTCGACCTGGAGCTCCCTCCCTGCCTTCCTGAATGAAGGTCTCAGGGTGGGTAGGATGCAGTATCCAGCGAACTGAGCATCGAGTTCAGTGGAATTTGTGTCAAAAGCTGCATTAAATGGCTTTGGCAGAGCTCGCCCTTTGTACAGTGAGCCTTGGTTTCACCTGCAAACTTCTACTTAGATCTCTGGAGCGAGCCGCTTTGTCCAGGTCCTGGAGCCTGTATTTCCCTCCAAGCAGTGATCATTCTGTTCCCTGTCCAGCTGTGTCATGTACATTATCCAGAAGGATAGGGTGACCCAAGGGCTGAGGATGTGTCCTATCTCTCCATCCCTCTTCTGGGCTGGCCTTGGCTAAGTGAGCCAGCCTTGTGGGGAAGGGGTGCTTCCTGTTGTGCTGAGGGCTACCACCTGGGGGCACAGGTACCAACGAGGACTCGCCTACAGACAAAGCACCTAACCCTCTCACACATGGGGTCTCATAGGTGACCCCACTAAAAAGAGAGGTTCCATGGCTGCCTAGACTAAGATTTAAGAAGCTCCAGGGATCCATGGTTGAGAGTGCCAGGAGCCCCAAGTGGACAAATGAATGTCCCTGTGTTTCCTGGGTATGGATCTTGGTGGGCTGCTGGCTCCAGCTTGTTGAGCTTCTCAAACCTACAGATGACACAGTCACTAAGGAGAGCAAATGTGCCAACGGATAAGATCAATACTGTGTAAGTCCATGGCTGCAGCACCCATGGGAACCAGGGGGTAGAAGGCAGTGGATGTGAAGAAAGACCTCCCAATGGTCACAGGGCCACAGCACATGGCCACAGCACAGGGCCAGGTGACCTAGCCCACAAGTACGGTGCATGTTTCTAGATTGTGTCAAGTTGACGAATTAAAACCAACCATCATAATCCCTCCCTTAGAAATTCAGACTCAACAGACACCTTGCCAGGGGTAGCCTGGTTAGCAGTATATTGGGATAGCTCAGTGCTGGCCACTGAGACCTTCTCCAGAGTCCACAGGCAGGCACTTCCCCTTCTACTCAAGTGCCGCTGACAGTGACAGAGGCTCCAGTAGGAAGAGAGCTGCCACTGTGGCATCCTTGGGATGGGTACAGACAGGCCTTGCAGAATGTCCAGGCATCGGTGGTGCTGACTCTGTGTCTCAGCCCAGCATTGGTGTGTTTAAGCCAACAGTTACTGTGTGACCCCATCCTGTCTACCTGAAGTAAGTGGCCAGGACCCCAGAGTGCTGAGCATACTAACATTCATTTCAGTCTAGACCTTGAATGGGGTTACCTAGTAACTGGGACATGTGCACATTGCCTACCCGCAGGCCTGGAATAGGAGTCCTTGTTTGTAAACCATGGTTTACAAACCTACCAGGCCTGCCTGTCCTTCATGGACACCCCACCCCCTAGGACAGAGGACTGTCCCACCAAAAGCCACAGAGTACACCACATGTGTTCTAGCAGTGGGTCACAGCCATGGTCCCCACCAGGAGCCATTCCCAGGTGTCAGTCAGCTGAGCGTGCCTCTCTATGGTCTAGTGCTTGCTGCTTAGATGTTTGGGGATCTCCCAGTGATTTGTCAGCTCCCAGAAAGTTGTCAGTCACATTTTCCAAAGTATGTTTCTCAGTGACAGACATAATTGTACTTAACTCTTTGCATGGATATTATCATTTTGTGACAGA